CCTGAAGATAGAAGAGTTTGTTGAATCTGACGTGGCATGTTCGTACGAACCCTTTGTACGAACAAAAGTAAGAGAAATTTAGGATAAGAATATGAACAAGTTCTTGCATGAGGCCCAATGGGCTGAAGAATCGAGGCCTCACCCTTGGTCATGATGGCATTTCGGTCGTGGTGAGAAAGAGTTGAGTCGAAGGACAAATCTGTTGATTTACTGGTCTGTTAATGTTCCAAACCTCACCTGTGGTCATGAGGCATGGATCAAGWCTGAAAGACCACATTTTTGTCAAAATTTGTTTCTTTTGTAAGGTGGCCAGGCTCAGTGTTAAGGCTGAGTTATAGTAGAGCAAGGAGTAGAACCACTGCTCCTTCGRATCCAAAGGACCCAGCAGAGGAGGTTTGGGTTTAGGATGTCTTCTGGACACCTCRCTTTAGAGGTATTTTTGGTCTTGTCCTACTGGGAAGAGGCAGGGCAGACCCAAAACTTGCTGGAGAGATTGTGTATCCTCTGTGGACTGGGAACACCTTGTGGTCTGTCAGGTAGAGCTGGAGAGTGTTGCAGGGGAGAGGATAGGTTTATCTAGGCTTTAGAGTTCCCCCGGCAAAAGTATTTTTAAAAACATCTTTTATCCCAAACTTCATTGTTATTCTCAATCAAATCAAGGGATAACATATATCTGACTGAACTGCTGCATGGAGGTATTTCAAATTTGTTGTACGAATGTGTTTTTATGAACTTGTTTCATGATTTTTTATAGGTTTTTAGTGTTGTGTTGGATGTGTTGTTCTGTATATTTTAGTATAAGTACATGTCTGGTGAGCCAAACAAAAATCTCCTACGGTGGACATTAAAGTTTTATTCTATTCTATTATCTCCTGAACCTGCTGCATRCATGACCTGACCACAGATAAGCAGTAAAAAATGGAGATTTATTAAGCACGTTGTGGACCCACACATGGCAAATTAGTTTAAATTATGATACAACAGAAACAGGTTGTTGCTAATCTTAAATCACTGTAGTTAGAGCTCAACGGAACCATAATTCCTGACCTGAGACATTCTCGATGCATGATCTAAAGTTTGTACTGTCGGTGGATTCTTCCAGAAGCTGGAAACKGAAACAGAAACCTTGAAGGATAAGTGTGAGGACCTGAGGAAAGAGGTGACCCAGAGACAACTGGATGTACGGTAAATACATCACACTAGTGGTTCTTCTTTGCCTTGTAGCGCCAGRGTTCTGAGTTGTCTTTAGGAATCTGCAATTAGTTTTTTTTTAATCTAAGCTTGTGAGCTTTTCTTTAGATGCTGTTAAAAGAAGAAAACACCCGCTGACTGTAAATGAGCTATGAGTGTGCATTTAAATATTTCTATATTAGCCCTGAGATGAACTGGCAACCTGCCCAGGTGRGCCCTGCCTATCACCTAACATTAGCTGTGAGGGGCTCTTGCACCTCCGTTGGATAAAACCGATGAATACGCTGAAGTCATAGCTGATTTGCTCGCCTCTTTTGTGTGTTTAATATCTTCATTTTGTGTCCTTGCATGCCTTCTGTTTGGTAACAAGCACTGCAGCTATTTTTGAGGGCTATTTACGGAAATTGTTCTGAGGATAAACTCGTTTTTTTCTGTATATTTTGTTCCCACTGCATGCACAGAAACTTAATGGAGGATGTGGAAACGCACAAAATGCTGATAGTGAAAGAACAGGAAGAGCTGGAAGAAAAGAAGAAGATTATTGAACTGAAAGAGGTCTGTGTGTGTGTGTGTGTTTGTGTATGACTGTGAGTCAGTGGGTTTGGCTGACAGCATTATTTACACCACTAATAAATTAACATGCTGTTTTGGTTGCATTTCTCTGCTTTGTTGCCACAAGGCTGAAAATGCCAGGCTTATCAGCATACCTGATCAGATAATAAAGGAGACTGAGAGGAAACGCTCAAACTGGCAGTAAGTCGAAATAACGCGCTTGTAATTTTCCCACAAGTTACCTAATTTTAGAAATATCAGAAAATTGAAGAAGTCAGAACTGCAGAACCAGTTCCTTAATTAGTAGAGATTTCCTAATAATAGTTTTGGACATTRGGTTTTGCTCATTATTATCTTTTATTATAAATTCTCTAAATCATTTTGTATGAATCTTGGGGAAGACTATCATTCTACTCATAACCTTGCATTTTTGGCYGGTTTTCTAGAATAAATGTTACATTTAAGGTGAACTTTTTCGACAAATGTTAGTTCAGTGTTTGAAATTAACTGATTTATTGCCATTTATGTGAAGGCTAAGAATGGTTAGCTGTGGCAGCCTTCCTAAGTTGGGTTGACTCCACACATTAATCAGTTGCAAATGTTCATCCAATAATTACTTTCTGAGTTGCATTGAAATCCATTGGTTTTGTACTGGTCAGCCCATGAATTGGTATAATGATTATCAATGTGACATCAAAACTCTGACTTACTTAAAAAGTTCACATGATTTCTAATTACAACCATGTGTCTCAGCATCATCCATGAATGAATGAATTCAGATGTAGACGAGTTGATGTGCTGCATCCCAATCGTTCCTTTTTTATACTGATATTTAGCTTGTAATTCATGAGGGGGAACAGCCTGTACGGGCGCTACGAGCCACAACTTGTAAACTGAAATTCAGAAAAGATTTAGAAAGGTTTAAAAGATGCTGTTATTTGGTAGGAAGTGCACTCTGACCAGTGTAGAAAAGCAGAGGAAACTTTCACCCTGTTCGTGTACTTGTTCTCTTACAAATACCAGAGCTGCAGTGAAGAAGATGGAAGCACTAAATATGGAGATTTCTGAAACTGAGCAGCAGATGAAGGTGGTGGATGAGCGTAATGACGCCATGAGGATGATGAGGGAAGAGGTGGCTCGGGAGCTGGAGGAAGTCAGGGCCCAGATAGAGGCGTGTCAGCGGGAGCAGAGAGAGCTCCTGAAGAAACAGGAAGTCAGCAGAGAGGAGATGGCTGACCACATGGGCACCAAGTAAAAACTTCACTGGAATRGCTTAAAATAAAAATTCTGGTTACTGTGAAGCTGGAAGCTAACCTTGTTATACTGTACATGTCTGTGTTTCCTTACCAGAGGTATCTTAGAACTGAAGCTGCAGAACCTGATGAGTGACAGAAAGCACCTGAATGAGAGACGACTGGTGCAGCTCAGGGAGAAGAATCGGTACAGAATCAAGTCTTAACACTCGAGAGCTGCTATCTTTCATGCTTTACTTGTTTTCTTGCTCCAACACACCCGATTCAGTCATTCAATTACCTCTTCAAGTTCMGCAGAAGCCTGTTAATCACCCATTCATGCAAATCAAGTGTGTTGGAGCAGAAAAACCTCTAAAACATGTAGGGTAGTGATCCCACACATACTGTTACTTGTTCATACCATATGGATGGGGTCCTTGCATCAGTTTTGGGGGCATCAGTCTGAAAAATGACGAAGACCCCTGTTTTAAGACTTTGAAAAGTTACAAAATCTAAACTTTACAGAAAAAAAGAGCTGTTGAACTGCTCTTAAACTGCTCAAAATACCTCCCCATGCCAATTCCGGCATTACGTTTTGAAGTTAATGACATTACTGTGCAACATAATTGCATATTGTTTGTCTGGTTGCTTATTTGACTGACTTTAGAAGTGAAGAAGAAAGAATGTGTAGCGGCTTTGGGCTGAGCAATTTGTTCCTGACCAGAGCAGCTTTAACCAGACAGCAGATAAAACTCATCCCAAATTCCACTTCAATGCCTTGGAAAAAGGAAAAATATGTTTTCTATTCATTTACTAGCTTTTAAATCGCTTAAATTGCTCCGGGTGGCCGGGGTTACTCGGAGCCCACAGCTCGGGGGCCTGACATCCACCCCCTTTTGTTAACACAACAAGTATTTAACTTTTTTAATTTATTTTGTTGCATTGAAACATAAATTTTAAATCTACAAATGATTTGAAATCTATTTTTATATTAAATTAAGTTTAAAAAAAAATACAAAAAAAATTAATTAAATGGCGGGCCGGATTGAAGTCACTTGTGTGCCAGATGTAGCCCACAGGCCGCCAGTTGAATAGCCCTGTTTTAAACCTTAGTCTTCTTAGTGGTTAGCCACGTTTGGTCACTTTTAACTTTGAAAGGAAACAAAGCTGAGGAATGAGGAGACAGACGTCTGATGAAGATGATAAATATTTAAAATTTTGTTTTGTTTCTCCTCAGGCAGATACAAGTGGTTCAAAGGATGGAGCAGGCCCTGACCATAGCCACTGAGCAGCTTGTACACACCAAGTCTGTGTACAGTAAACTACAAGCACAGGTAGTTAGGGTGTTTTTTGTTTTAGCTTATGTTCAAATATACACGTCTGCACAGTTAACCTGTAACATTTTACTGATAAAATATCTGCAGCACATTTCATGATTCCTGCCCATAAGAGGAAGATTCACCAGGCTCTGCTACAGGACTTGAGTTATCGTTTGAGCATAAATATCAAATTGTCAATCTGTATTCCAATGCGGCGCTTTAAAACTTTTCAATCTTCCTGTCACTTTGCTGATGTGTTCTGTTTTTAAAAGGGGYAAAAAAAGAGGATAAAACAAATCGGAACTCCATCAGCATATAAAATATGACAGGACATCTACGTGACGCATCAGGAAGTTCACTTTTTTTCTTTTTTTTTACAAAACAATGAAAACAAAGCGGTTGCACAAAATGATTCATTTGGTTTACATGTCAACAGTGGCTTGAATGAATGTGTGCTCATAATAAGCTGTTTAGAGGGGTCACTGGGTTTGCAACAGAATGACATCATCTAATGAATGTGATTAATAGCTTTAATATTTTCAAAGTTCTGTGGTTTGGTTTATAAATCATTAGACTTATTGTTTATTTAGTGCTTCGTGTAGTTGAAATAATTGCGTGTATTGCATTTTACTCTTAAAAAAACAACCGTACTATAGTTATTTGGTTGTGTAGCGTCACAGAATCCACTTGTATCGGTGGGATAAAATATGCTGTGATTGAATTTGACATGAGGTGTGGCGAGAACCGCACCGTATTATCATAACACATTGTTGCAGCCTTGGCAGCTGATAGACGCCAGATGAGGCTGAAAATTTGAACAGCCTTATGATGTTGACTGTGCTCTGCTCTGAATATTCAGCTAGATGCTGTTCCCAAACGAGAGGCTAGCGTTCAGCAAAGGATGGAGCTCCAGAAAGAGGTGGACACTCTTAAAGTCAGCCTTGAAAAACAGGTGGGATTTGTGGCTAAAACTGCCACAAGCTACATTTCTCTCAGCTGCAACTTCATTTTAATAAACTATTTTCTTTCATTTTTAATTTTTAGCTTTTTTAATTGGACGTTTTAAACACTTGTCAGTCTCTGTTACCCTTGCAAAAGTGAAGGCTAAAATAAAAAAAAAATTAAAAATCATACGATACAAAGAAAATCTCGATCCTCTCGGGGAGAAGTTTCAGTATTCATCCGTCTTCCTACTATTGATTGACTTGTCCGCTTTTCTTCCCCATTCTGCTGTCAGTAACCCTTCAATTTCACCCCAGATATTCATGAGATTTTTCACAGGAGAAATGTGTTTCCCAAGCAGCTTTCGCTGGCTGAGAAGGAAAGCCAGAGGAAGCAGCAGTATGGGATGCTTCAGGAGCTGCTCAGGGAATCAAACCGCCTCAGAGAAGAGCTCCATGACCTCAAATGTCTGAGACAGATAAAAGCAGAGGAGAGGAGCAAGAAGCACCGTGAACTGCTTCGAACAGAGGTACACCCACAAACACATTTAAATAGATTTGTTCAGGTTGTTTTTGCTTATAAATGATCAGAAGGGGCGCTGTTACAAACAGAAGAAAATGCATTTTTGCTGACATGAGTTGTTAAAGCCGAAGAAAAATATACTAGCTAAAAACTGAAGTGCAAAATGCTAGTTAAAGTACAAAACCACTTGCTAAAAAAAGCAAAACACAAGCCAAAAGTTAAAAGTAAGAAATAGCTGGATAAAGGAGAAAAAAAGCTAGCCGGAATCAGAATATATGATAATAGTAAATTAAAAGCTAAAATGCTGCAGAAGTTAGTTAAGACAAAAAGAGCAAAATTATAGTTGAAAGCTAAAAGTAGTAAAGCAGTAGCTGGATGCTAAAACCACAGCTTTGCTAGCAAAAAGCAAAAAATATCAAATGGTTAGCAAAAATTAGCAAAAATCCTGAAGTAGCAATGGACTAGCTATAAGCTAACCATAGCATAAGGTGTCTAGAATTAGCAGAATAGTAGCTAGAAGTAAAAATAGCAAGAGTTCAACTAAAAGTGGCATAAGGCAACTAAAATTTTAGTAGCTAACTTATAGAATAGAATAGAATAGAATAGAATAGAATAGAATAGAATAGAATAGAATAGAATAGAATAGAATAGAATAGAATAGAATAGAATAGAATAGAATAGAATAGAATAGAATAGAATAGAAATAGCCTTTATTGTCCCGCCGAGGGAAAATTCAGTTGTCAGCAGCATCAGTACAGAGGTTCATGTTAGTTACTTTACAAACTATAGACAGTACACAAAAAAAAACAAAATTAACACTGACTAGTAATGATACGACTACTACTAATAAAAACTATAATATAAAGAATTATGTAAAAAAGGATATGTTTTGTTTTAGAGTCAGTAGACTATCAAAATCTGACATTAGGAATCAGAAATTGCCTATTCTCAGTGCAAAAATAATCTCAACAGACTCTTAACTGTAAAAAAGTAGCTAAAGTTAAGTTAAAGTGGTAAAAGGCAGCTAATTGTAGCAGAACAGTAGCTAGAAGCTAAAAGTAGTAAAGGTCCAGCTCAAAGTGGCAAAAGGCAAAGTAGCAGAATGGTAGCTATAAACTAAAAGAAGCTAAAATTAATCTAAAATTGGTAAAAGGCAGCTAAAAGTAGCAGAATGGTAGCTATAAACTAAAAGTAGCTTAAGTTAAGTTAAAAGTGGTGCAAGGCAAATAAAAGTAGCAGAATGGTAGCTGAAATCTAAAATGATCCAAAAGCTAGCTAAAGCTAAGATGATAAGAAAAAAACAGAAGTGTTTTGGCAGATTTTAAAGGGGAATAATATTTTATTTTAAACAAAAAATGAACAAATGTATAAATGTTTTTATGGGGAAAATGTTTGTAAAATAAGTTAAATATAAAGTACAAAAGTTACAAAAATGTGAAGCTGAACATTTTCATATATGATTGACTAAAGTATGCACAAAGTATGCTGAAGTAATGAGATTGCAAATGTATGGAAAAATAAAACAATATTATGAATGCTGACTCGGCATGAATCAAAGATGTAATGATGCTTAACTCTGCTCACAGCAACTGAGCAGTCGCCTCCAGCAGGAGCTGAGAGAGAAAGACCTGATCATCGTGGACCACGGCAAGCTGAACGCAGCGCTGCAGCGAAGGTGTTTTTCTTTTTGCCTGTATTCAGAGTGTGTCTCATAACAAATGCGACTCTGTAGAGAAAACCGTGTCGTGCTAATTGGTCATACTCGAGTGTGCAGACACAGACTAATGCCTGCGGCACCCCACCGCTCAGCAACACACTCTTCAGATGCATTCATTAGGGTCACAGCGACAGACTGCATCCCGATGTTGTCGCACTTGACACGGAATCAATTTTCCAAAAGCAAAAACATTGCCAAGATGATAATTAAAAATTGTTTATCTTGTAGCGTTTTTTAATACTTACCAGTCATTGTTCACACGTCGCACCGTACGTGGATCTTAAATTTGAACGATTGAAGTGTCAGCCTGTGTAAAACCCTCATTTATCCAATTTTGCTGAACTTTTTATGATTTATTTGTGACAATGGGATCTTTATTGTCATATATCTCATAAAAGCAGAAAATATTGTTTAAAAAATGCAATTTATCTTGCAGGACAGATGCACAAGGGTATGAACAAGAATATCCTTTTTTTTTTTACTTCAGAATATTACAGTATTCAAAACTGTGTGAAATGGTCACGGAAGAGAAGAATAGGTATGTGAGACTGAAGGAGATCGCCTCACAGACGATCACAGAATTGACAGAGCAGATTAAAGTGCTGGAAAACGAGATGGAAATCCAGCGCACTGTCGCTGTCAGCAAAGACAGGTGTGTTCACCAGTTTGAGCTTTTATCAAAGTCACCATGCTTGGATTTGTGTCAGTTTGAGTGCAGCTGCATCAGTTCTATCATTTATTCTTTTTTTTCCTTCTCTTTTTATTTCTATTCCAGGTCTCTCACAAAGGCTCAAATGAAGGTTTCTAATAGTTCCAGAACGAGGGAAAAACTACGCAATGACATCTCCAAGGTTTAAACACATAAATACACACAATGAGAAAAAGGTCAGCGTCATCAGTCTAACTCTTAAACAGATTAAACAAATGCTTTGATTTCAGCAGTTCAGAGCAGAACAAGCACCTCCAGCGAAATCGATGCTAAACAACAAGAAAAGCCGGATTGAAACTACTGATTTCATTACTGAACTCCAACTTTTTAGCAAGGCTCCTAATTGCTGTTTTATATTGAGGAAGGGAAGCAATCACACTTCAGCATTAATCTGTGGGTTATTCGTGAGACACTTGAGCAGTAAAAAGAAAAAAAAATAAACACGGCTCACTTTACAAGAGTTTGTGAGCTTGTGTGTAGTCGACATTAAACTTCGCCCCTCCCGCTGGTAATTTTCTACAGCTATGTGGAGGCATTACATGCTGCATGAGCTTCCAAATTGCTTTGGCAATTAGGTGTAATATGTTTTTTTTTTTGTTTGTTTGTTTGTTCAGAACTGAAAACTAATGTATGCAAGAGATGATTATATCCCGCAGTGATCTTTTTCAAGCATTTTACTGCAAAACATTCATAAGCCGCATAAGCTGATAATAAAGATTTATAATGAGGCTGGACCTATAGGAACAGAGATATTTGGTGTACACATCACATGAAGTATACGAATCTGAGCAGACCGCCTACATTTTGATGAATTAACTTTAAAACACTTAAAGAACCAAGATTGAAAAGAATGGCTAGCAAAATTGGCCCAATTAAACCCTTTGCTTATATTTATCTGAATATCTTGTAGGTTGCCTGGAGGCAAGATCAGATCAATGAACAGAGTGAAGACAACAAACTAGAACTAACAAAACTCCAACAAGTGATTAAACTCCAAGAGGAGACCCTTCTGGAAATCAACCGAAGTCATGAATCAGCCGTACGACGACGCGATTTTCTGTAAGTTCCTTACGCGAAGTTTTCATGAATGCTTATTGAACTCGCAGTGATGCTTTTTGATTTGGCCGTCTCCTGTATTATTTAGTGGAATCCAACTCTTGGAACAGGACGAAGTTTTGTTCAGCTACCACGAGCAGACGTTCAACCTGGAGGCAGCCATCACTAAGGGCAAAGTCGCGCTGGAGACCCTGGAGAAGAGCGCGAGGGAGCTACAGTTAGAGATCAACGAGGAGAAGAGACAAATAGAGCGGAAGCAGAAGGAGGTGCTCCTGAAGAGGAAACTGGAGGAAGAGATCACCGTGCTGCAGATACAGGTAGAAACATCCTGACAAACAGGCTTTTAGATGATGAAACCTTAATAAACTTTCATTATTTCTTATAAAATAACTTCATAATTTCCTTTGCTTTAGTGTCATGTCCTCCATCGGGTAGTTTCTTGAAGAGTTGTTGTGTTACTTTTCTCCAAGTAGCTCTGCATATACAGCCACTAATTGCTGAAGATTATGAATGTTGTTGTCTACATTTCTTTAATAACATGACTGTGAGGGTGTCAGAAAGTGGCTCCATTTATTCCTATCTGTGAGCCATCATACCTGTCAATTAGTGCTTCTTGGTGTGATAAAAGTTACTCTGAGAAGGCTGATTGCACAGTGTCTGTATTTTTGTCCCCCTCAGAGAACCTCTTGCGGATGCTGGGTTTTTGTTTACCTGTTTGTGTTTGAATATCAGAGACTTTCACTCAACTCTGTTTTCAGCTATCGTCAAGCTAGGTGTGTGTGTTCCTGTTTGTCCTTCCCTGAAGAAAAATCATTTTGTGTCAGAGAAAATAAAAGTTAGGTGCAGTTTTCTAGAAGACAGTAGTTAGACTACAGATGGCCAGGGCGGCACTAATGAGGAGGTCTTTGTTTGGAGACTTATTCACAGTATTTTTTCCCCCATAACAACACTTTTGAACAGCGCCAATAAACATATTGTGCAAATTGTTTCTGTCCTGTCACCTACCAACCGTGACAGCGCTAAATAGAAGCAATGAAGCTCAAAAAATAGATTTAAATTGGCAAAATATTAATATTATTAATATTATAAATGGTCAAAATTAGCTTAGAGGAATTACATGAATAACTAAGATATATGAGCTTGTTTATGATGATTTCTAACAAGAAAATAAAAAAAGGTCAATGCAAACAACAAAAGGCCTAACACAACCTCTTTAAACTTTGAATTTTGTTCCACCAGATTTTTATTTAAAACTGTACTCGTCTCCTGCTTTGTCCACCATCATAAGCAAAATAAAATCTCCATTTGGCCCGCATTGCATCTCGGGATCAGGCGGGGTGTGAAGGACCCGTTGGACCCATCCCTCAAATTGGTACAAAAGGAGCATGTATTTGTGGGCTGTAATTGGAAGAGTCTTCGAATTTGGACAGCTATCGACACAGCCAGATTAATTTTTTTTTATCATTCACCACTTAAAGTGTCTGTGACATGCCTTGCCTTCAAATACAAAAAGGCAAAGTYCACTTTATTTAAGAAACTTGGCATAATACACATGATTTTACCCGTTTTGTCACATAACTAGCATATGTGACCCATCATATAGAAATGAGGATTAAGTCAAATTTGTTCAAAATGGCCTAACTACAGTTTCAGATTCCTGGCTTTAAAAGCTACGTTTTGATACCTGGATCATCCTGATATCATAAGTGGATCCAGAGATATGACTTAATTGGTCTTGTTGGTTAAGATAATACATTACTGTTTGGTCTGAATCCTAATTTTATGTGAATTTATTGAGCAATTTTTATGTTAATATAAAGAGGAAACCTCAAATATTGTATATTAAGATTTCCCAGTTGGAAAGAAACAAAAACGTTGTTAGCTCACAGGGAAAAAAAATTAAAAATCTTAAGGCGTTTT